CCCATTCTTGATTTTAATTTTGCGCTTGCCAATAAAGGCAGCTTTTTTCTTTTTATCCGGCACCTCGACAAGAAAATCTTTTCTTTTCACTCACAAAACAGAAAAGAACAAATGTAGCCGTGATCTACTCACCTGGTCTGGAAGCTGCTGAACCCAAAATTATTAGTTTTTGATTTTTATCTAGCGCACGACGAGAAATATAGTTTAAAAAGAGAATTTATTTGAACACAATATTATGCACACGAAACACGCGGCCCACACAAAAAGCCTGTATTAAAAGGTTTTGCAAAAACTAGTTTTTTTCCAAAAACGTGGGTGACTGTACGAAAACACGAAAAAAGACACTAAACGCGACGATCCTATAGCTCTCGTTGCCAAAATCCGAAAGTTGTTTTTCTTTTATTGTGAGCTGCAAAAACTAATCAAAAAAGATTTTGATAGATTATTTTGTTATTAAAAAGAAGTTGACAATCTTTGCCAGCTGAAACGCGAGATTCCAAAATAGCTATAGTGCTGCCACTGTATTAATATTTCGTAATAATTCACTTTTCCTTATGAGATGTGTGCACTGTTCAATGCTTTTCGGTATCTTCTTTCGTTTAATATATATATAATATATATATAAATAATGAAAATTTTTAATAAAAAATCGCGCGATGTAGAAGAAGTGTATAGTGTACTGTGGCCTTATTACCATTAAGTGAGACCCTGAGTGCGGTTGTGTGGAGCACAACTATACCGCACGCAAAGCAGTTATTGGACATGCCTGATGGAGATTTCGCGAAGTCACTCAATGAAGCTTTCTTTAAAGAATATCCCAAGGAAGGCGTTGTTGTTAATGCAATGAATACTTTGAATTCACTCATTGGTCGTAATGCCAATATGATAAGGCAGTATCCACCAGGCGTAAATGGCGTCATAGAAAAATCGCGTGCTTCATTTCCATTGGGATTTCTACATGCCGCTTCGTATGTGTGCACTGGTGCCGCTTTAATTGGCGATGCCGCACATCGCGTGCATCCGTTAGCAGGACAAGGTGTGAATTTGGGCTACAGCGATGTGCGTGAGCTGGTTAAAGTGTTGGCCCAGGCGGCATATGCTGGCGCTAAAATTAGCGACAAGCACTATCTCGTCAAATATGAACAGCGAAGTTTGGCGAAAAACGTACCTATTATGGTAGGCGTACACGGACTACACACGCTTTACTCGACCACTTTCACGCCTGTGGTTTTGCTTCGGAGCTTGGGATTGCAGTTGACCGATAGTATTTTGCCGATCAAAAATTTGTTTATGAAACGCGCTATGGGCTAAATGCTCTAAAAAGGCGACACGCCTTTGACGACATTGTAATTTTTTTGTATTGCATACGGTATATTTTAAAACGTTGTATGAACCTAATTATTAACGACTGCGAATAAAACTGGAACCTGCGCACATTTTTTTTATTTTTGTAATTTAAAGTTACTTCCTAATTCCTTATAAGAACAATTAATTGGCCAGCAAAAAAGATTAAAACGCCATCTCCAATTTTAAATTAAATTATAAAATTATAAATTAATTTCAATGTCCTTTAAAAAATTAGTGATAGATTTATATGCTATGCCATTAGTATTTTGATGAAATTCAATTAATGATGAAGTATTTTTGAGTATTGGGTATTTATCACGTGAATTGTTATATTTGTTACATTTGAAAATTATATGATCAGTGTTTTCAACTGTATTACAAAATTCGCAATTTGGGTTTGGAAAAATATTCATTTTTGATAATGTCTCCTTGCAGAAAGTGTGATTTGTTAGAATTCTATTAATTTGTTTAACTTCTATTGGTGTCATTTTATTTGAATGTTTATGAAACCATGGTTTTTTCTGAATGTTTGGAAATATTTCTCCATAAGATTTTCCTTTAGTTATAATATTATTAGAATAAAATTCTTGCCGCTCTTCATTTATTTTACTTTTAATTTCTATTATGGCATCTTTAATAGACCATAAAGTTTGAATTCTTTGACCATTCTGTAAAGCAGTGGAAGCTGCTTTATCCACTTTTTCGTTTAATTCAATACCACTATGGGCTGGGATATGATGTAATTCTAAATTTTCAATTGATGAATTATTAAGATCCGTTATCATTTTTTTTTTGCTATATAATTATTACAGTTCTCATTTGAAAGAGTCATTAGACTACTTAAACTGTCTGTATGAATGGCAATTTTTTTAAATTGATTAATTATTGAAAATCAATAGCTTTATAAATCGCTAATAGTTCAGCTGACATTGAAGACATTTTTTTGTCACAGAAAAAGGATTTTTCAGTTGAAGATTTCTCGTGTAAAAAAGCAAAATGGGTTTGGTTATTTTTAATAGAACCATCTGTATATATTATTTCAAAATTTTGTTGTTCAAGATTTTTGAGTTTTTCAATATATAATTTAGAAATTAAATCTTGATTCGCAGATTTTTTATTTTGTATTGATCCTTTAAAAAAAAATTTATCAAATTTCATTTTTGGAGAATTAAGGGGTGTATCTGGAACTAAAGCTATATTATAAAAAATTGATTTAAATTTATTATATATTTTAAAATAACTAGTTTTTTTATTAAGTTCATTTGTAAGAATTGTGTCTTTTATTGGTAAATTATATGCAATGCATTTAATTATTTCTTTAGCTGTTGTCAATTCAAAACGAAATTTGGATGGTAATTCTGATGCCATATGATAAATAATATGAGTTGGAGTAGATCTAATAAGACCTAGACAACGCCTGATATTTGCATTGCAGCAAGTATTAAGCTTTTGTAAAGCAGACTGAGATATATTGGCAAAAGTTGAACAAGCATAATCCATTTTGGAACGAGCAATTGCGCACATTTTGTTCAAGTTAAAAATAATAAATATCTTTACTTACACACGTTTGCATATCCTCGTTCATGATTCATGTAGAGTATGTCAATTAACTTCTTTAGCAGCAAATCGCGTGTCGGTTTGTGATCACTGAAGTGAACATACCTTAGCAACAATTTAAATTGCGTATGGTGGAACTCAATTCTAGCAGCGTGGCAAGCACTTGAGGATCGTTAAGCGCACGTCGTAGGAACGGAAGATTAATGATACCAGATTTAGTGATCGAAGTAGATAGCGGTTCCTCATCGGAGTCTTGAGATTCGCCGCTAGGCTGTTTCTTCTTATTTTGATCAGTTTCAGCATCCTTTTCGTAAATCTCTTCGTAAATCACTTCAATATTTTCCCAAAGGGTAATTCTCTAGGGTGGGGTAACAACCCCTAAAAACCAAACGACGCGTTTCGGCCTCCCTAGTAACAATCCGTAGGGGGGGAGATAATATTATTAACCATTTAAAAGTTATGAACAAAAAACTTTTGTTAAATTTCGTTTTCTATGAGCAATTACCACGTCAAAAATGCACTAAATCACCAGTTTCCACTTTTAAAACACTACTAAAACGTTTCCGCTTATTATTTTATGCAAACCAAATCATTTATTCATTTTATTTTATATATTTCGTTAATAAAACAGAGTAAACAAACTTTGCGCCTGCTAAAATTATTATAACCTCAAATCGCTGGTATTGCCACTTTATTTCACATTTCATTTGCGCTATTATACTCAGTTTACACTATACACTTATTCTTTTTCTTTTTTTACTTTCATCTAAATAAGATATTGTAACCAAAATATAATAGTAAATTTCGCTATACCATCGCGCGATTTTTTGTTAAAAATTTTCATTATTTATCGAAGTATTGATTTTTATGGAAAAAGCGCCCCAGGCGAAAATTTTTACCAAAAAATCGCGCTATGCTAGAATCGTTCCCGACTGATCTTTGACAGGATCCTTCTGCTAAAAATCGCAACGAAGCTGCTAACTGCAGCACTGGTGGAACTTTCGAACGTGTCAAGTGCCCTTCAATGGTGTCAAGTACCTCTTTGTTTAGGCGATAATATGCTATGAAACTGCAAATACGCTATAAATATTTATAAACGCATATTAAAAAACAATCTACTTACGCTGTCTCGGGCAGTTCAAGTGGATCGCCGCAATCTCTCAAAATTTTACTTTTAACCTTCTCGGAACTTTCTTCTTCCAAGAACAGAAATGCGATAACTGCGGATGTCATTTTGCGCTCACTTACTTTTATTTAAATTAATGAAAACAATTCAATTTTAAAAAATTGTGTCAAAAAAATGTACATTCAAATTGCCGCCATGCACACAAATGAGCAAAACAGCTGATTCGAACATCGGTTTTGTCTATGTTCGAAAGGAGCAAAACCAATCCGGTTTCATGACACCAAATGAAACCAATATTGGTTTGTAATTCCGACAAAAAGCAAAACCGACTTGGATTCCATGACAGCCCTGAATATTTTTGACTGAAATATATTATCTCTGTGACTATACTTAAATTAGTAAATCTATATGGACATTGTCTGTTGTGCTTTTAAGTGGTGTGCTACATATTAGTGTGTTACAATTAATTATTTGCATACTGTGGTGGTAGCAACTAAGTGGAAGGAGAAGGTGAATCCTGTGTGGTTGGAGATCATCACCTGATTTTCTTGGGTGAGTTCCTGTTTATTGTTTATACCTTATACTAGTAATTGGCTTTTTGGTAGGGTTAGATGGAGGGCGCTTCGGCGTCGGGGGGAGTCCAATTGGTGGACGGCAAGTTGGGAGGAATCTCAACTGGTGCTAAAGCCAAAAGGATGAGTAGAGCTAGGAAGGATAAAAGGAGTGCTGGTGGTGGGGGGAAAAAACGTAAGGATGAGGCAGTAAAGGATCTTTGGTTATCCAATTCTGAGGAGGATGAGGAGATGGATTGTGGGCTAGTTCCACCTCCTATGCAGGGTATGTTGGTTAAAAAGGGCACTTTTACAATGAACCAGGTTGGGGGAACTGTACCAGTTGAGGATAAATTTACAGGCTTTAATAGCTCAGGCGAGGTAACTGTACCTAATAATTTTTGTTATAGCGGCGTTGAGGAGGTATACCCAAGCCAACTACATGCTGAGGAGTATATAGCGTCGGTTACAACGGATTTTAAAAATGGCGATAATTTATATATGGATATGCGTGAGAGGGAGAGAGATAGTAATTTGCTACATAACATAGAAGAAACACAATGTGAAGAGTTAAATGGTACACAAAGTGTACAAAAGCAAGATGTGGAAAGTGGGGAAATTCAAAATGGTAGTCAGAATGAACGACAAAATGAGATGCAAACAGCATACATACAGATAACAACGGACATTTCATAAATACAGGAGCAGGCACATTTGTGGATGACAGTGGCGTGAATAATAATAGGGTACGAGAAACATTGAAAATAAAGTGATGAAAAATGGACTTTTTCTTTTTGACAAAATAAGAAAATTTAATATTGAGGGGTTATTAAGTCAGTCGGCCGTTCTTTGTATAAAGTTTATTTTTATGATT